AGGCGGAAACTAAATGATTTTTTTATTTTTTTTACCTCAAGTTTTTATTACCAATTTATAAACTAACACTGGAAAAAAAATGTCCTCAACCATTTAAAATTAAGTCTTTGTATTCCATTTTATCCCACGTTAAATTTATCCACTTAAGTGTATTCTCATAAGTCCACTTAGTATAATAATTAACTTAAGACTTACTAATTTTAGTAGAATGTAGATTACAGACAAGAGCCTTAGAGAATCTGGGTCAGTCTCGTGTGTGTGTGTGTGTGTGTGTGTGTGTGTGAAAAATGACGAGGCGGCCGCTGGCGTGTTTTGGTTGACGAGCTTAACAAACTGGATTACTATTGACTGTGTCCCTTGATGAGTGGTGAACGGCGTGTGAAGTGAGAGGGGAGGAGAGGGGAGGGAAGACGGAAGAGTGGGGGAGAGGACGGATGGTGGAGGGGGAAGTGGACGGGGGGAGAAGGAAGGAAGGAATAGAAGGATGGAAGAAGAGAGGAGAGAGGGTGGAGGGGGAGAAAGAAAAAAGAGGGAGGGAAGGAGGGGATGGGGGGTGGGGGGGAGAGTGGGAGAAGAGAAGGGAGGTTACTGGTCGGAGATTCTGTCAGGTCTGGGGTGAGGGGGAGGAAATTGATGAAATAGGGTGAATCAGGGTGTAATACGGTGAAATAGGGTCCCAAATCAGGAGAGGAAGATGGGTTTAGCGGGTGTTATGTGAGGATAATAGGGTAAATTATTGGAGGGTTGGGTGTTGTCAGGGAAATGGGAATAATAGGCGAATAGTATAGAGTTTAATGGGTGAAATGGGGATAATTGGAGAAAGAGTATGGGGTGTAATGAACGAAAAGGGGAGAATATGAAGAGGATTATGTGATTTAAGGGGTGAAATAGGAATTTTAGAAATGGGTAGAAATATGACAGAAAATTGGAATAATGTACAGGACAACAGGGAAAAATAGGAGGAACAGAATGGTGAAATGGGGAGAAATAGGGAGTAAGTCTTTTATTTTCGGTACATAAATACGCAGAGTGACCGCCAGTGTACTCGACCGCCTTCACCTCCCCAGCTGTACAAGTGGATGTACTAAGATAAAAATTACGGAAAATTTAAATGCTTCGTATGCTTCTATTAAGTTAATGACTTTGACTACTACTACTACTACTACTACTACTACTACTACTACTACTACTACCACGACTACTAATAGCCACACCTTCGCTGCCATTTTATTACCTTAAAAATAACTATCCTAATACATAAGTAGCTACCCTAGCTGTGATGAGTTAGTTGAGAAGCAGATCTATGCGGCATTCAGTGACTGTTGCCTCATAGTCAATATCAACAACTGTTGTCGGCTTTGGGGCCGATGCTCTCGTTCCCCTGAGGCAGAGCAAAGCCGACCTAAGGAGAGAGAAAGACAGTCGACATCTCATCCAGGCTGTAACATAACTTCTGGGCTGCTGCTTCTGTTCGGATATCACCTCCGCGAGTCTGGCGTAGAAGCATCTTGCACTTGGTCCCATCCCGCCAGAGGTTGTGAACACTAGAGTGAAGCTGCCTTGATCAACGTTCTGAATTCTCTCCCCGTATGCCCTTATCTTGTCGTTCTCGTTCCTCCTGTGTGCAGCATCGAGAGCTAAGTTACGGTGACATGCGTCCATGGGATAAAAAATCCTGATGTCGAAGAAGGCTCGCTGTCCCTGCGTCCAGAATCCTCGAGCACTGACGTCAACACGGGCTTCGTTGGATGTGTTTGAAGTCCTATGTTGGAAATTCTCACCGTCCATTGGATGGAGGGTCGGTTCTACCCTGACATCACGGCAGATTTCCTTCAATATATTTGCTGTGAGATCCCTTACTTCGTCATGCCTCATGCATATGAAGCCCCCTTTCTTGCACACCATGGCGTGATCGACGTCATAAGAAGAGCCACACGCATTGGGAGGGCAAACCTTCTACTGGCCTACCGTACCTTAGAGCATTGGCATCTGTAAATTCTTGTTTTACTACTACTAAAAATAATGACGACAAAGAATGCTGGTGATAAAAACAATGCTGATAAATTAGTAGATGAAGATAATTATTAAAAGGCAAAAAAACATGGCATCAGAGAGAGAGAGAGAGAGAGAGAGAGAGAGAGAGAGAGAGAGAGAGAGAGAGAGAGAATGGTCATCCTCTCCCCCTCCCCGCCAAGATAATGAAGCTGCTATATATAGTAGTAGTAGTATCAGGTGACCAGAGTAGGTAGTCCTATGGGGCTAGTTGACCCACAGAGAGAGAGGGGGAGGAGGAGGAGGAGGAGGTACAAGAGGGAAGAGGAGGGGGGTGGGAGGGGGGGCGGGAGGGGTCGACGATATGATGAGGGGGTAGAGCTGAGCATTTACAGATGATGAGAGAGAGAGAGAGAGAGAGAGAGAGAACTGTAAATCACGAATGTAAACGAAACAGTGTTATTGATCCCAGGTATTGATTGCAAGTATAGATGCCAGGGGAAAAATCCCTCAGAAGTATAGATGATAGAAATTACCGTAGTATATATAGACGACACAGCACTACACACAATAAGGAATACGGATCTTATCATTTGAACAGTGTAACTATGATAAACTGATTCATAAAAAAAACCTGAGTGAAAACAACTAGTGTATACAATATAGGTTAAAATATTGGTTAATAATAATTAAAGCAAAAATAAAAACCTTTAATTATTATTATCAATAGGAAAAACAAATGAGTATCCATAAACGCAGGAAAAACAGCTGAACATTAGTAAACACAAGGAAAACAAGCGAGCATCAATAAAAAAAAACTCAGTAAACACTTAAGAAATGAACATCATTAAACAGTAAAAACAAGTGAAAATCAATAACAAAAACAAGCGAACATCACTAAACGTAATAAAAAAACATCAGTTAATACGTGTAAAAAGCAAATGAGTAAACACGAGAGAGAAAAACAAGACAAAACAAAAAAACAAGTGAACATCAATAGAGTGAACTGCCGGCCACCAGAGGTCGTTTATTGGGCAACTGTCAACACGTCTGTCTCGATGACTAAACGCCCTGATGATCACGAGCGTTCAAGAGAGCTCGGCAAAAACACGACGCAAAAATACTGAAAATCTTTACATATATCAGTTTAAACCTTTTCTATTGATCTCTCTATCTCAACTTACACGTAGAACTAAACCTAAAAATAAGACCGTCTCGTATTTTAATGGAGGTGGGCGTTCTATTAATCGAGATATAAGGTCGAGAATCCCTATAAAAAGATCGAAAATGTTCTCCCAAGTTTTAATGTGAGTTTCGGGGAACTTTTGGAAAATGTAAAGCCGAGTTATGGTAGTTCTTAGATATATGACGTGTGGCGTATCAGAGAGGCGGTGTTTCCCTCTTGGTGGGTTGAATAATAATAGTGCGTGTGGTGCTGGTAGTAGTAGTAGTAGTAGTAGTAGTAGTAGTAGTAGTAGTAGTAGTAGTAGTAGTAGTAGTAGTATAAGAATGTCATGCTATACTCTGCTACTTGTATCACTACTTATAACTGGTATAGACGGTAATACTACGTGGTGCCTCTAGTCTATTCTTTTAGTGGTTGTTGTTGTATAATTGCGGTAGTTGTGGTGGTAGTATATAGTAATAGTGGTAGTTGTAGTATAATTGCGGTAGTTGGATATAATAGAGGTGGTTATGGATGATTGTGGTTGTTGTATTGTTATTAGTATATAATTGTGGTAGATTTGGTGGTAGTATTTCTTCAAAGCCGTGACCTTGATTGACCTTGCTATTTAACCTTTTAATCAGGCTGCAGGTCTGTCCTTTCATGAGTTACAGGACACACACACACACACACACACACACACACATCGACAAATTCATATAACGAAATATTATAGCAGTTAGTTCAGTGTGGTAGTAGTATTGCTAGTAGTAGTAGTAGTAGTGAGTGACCTGATTATGGTAGTGGTAATAGTAGTAACAGTGAGTGGCTAAGACTGATTGTGGTAGTCACAGTGGTGGTAGTGGTAGTAGTGCGGAGTCAAACAATGGAACCCAACCACACTATGTTTGGCATTCAGCGGGCGTCCTCACCCTCTCCCTCCACTCCATCCCACTCTCTCCCTCTCCATCCCACTCTCTCCCTCCCATCCCACCCTCTCCCTGACCACTCCAACCTCCTCTCACAGCGTTATTTCTCTTCGTGTGTGTGTGTGTGTGTGTGTGTGTGTGTGTGTGTAAAGTACCGTCCCTTCCCTCCCTCTCTCCCTCCCTCTCCGACGATCTCTCCTTGGTGCTAAGAGCGGCGTAACCCACTAGCGTGATCTCCGGGCAATGAAAACCCTTGTGTTAATGCGTCATAAGGGCTAATTGTGTAGTGGTGTTGGGGCTCTCCTCCCTCCCTCCCTCCTGGCCTGAGTTGAGTGCAAATCTTTGACTCCAGCGTTAAGTGGTTACCATCTTTTAGTAACTGCCTTGAAGGGTCTCTCACTTTATTTTTTCACTCCCTCTCTTTCTTTTTCTCTCTTTTTTACTGTCTCATCTTTTCTGTATTTTTCACTGTCTCTGTCTTTCTGTCATATCGTCTCTTTCTCTCTCTCTTTCTCTCTCCCTCTCTCTAGTTCTCTGTCTCTCTCAATATCAACAGTGGAATACCGGAGTTTAATATTTTGGTGATGTTTTGATGACCAGCCCGAGAATGGATGAAAAAGAAACACGAACTATATTAGAACCTAACCTAACCTAACCTAACTTAACTTAACTTAACCTAACCTGAGCTGGGTCTGAGTCGTCTAAGAAAAGCATTTATTATTATTATTATTATTATTATTATTATTATTATTATTATTATTATTATTATTATTATTATTAGGTATTTACATTCTTGATATATACCTTTGAAGTATATTAGACACAGTATAATATATATTTCTTGACCTAGAGTATAAATAATTGTCCTTACCTTACATAGAGTTTAATACATATTATCTTTTTCTCTTTCACAGCAAAATCACCTCAGAGATCCCCCGTGACAGGTGAGTACATCGCACCAGGTTGTCTGTGTGTGTGTGTGTGTGTGTGTGTGTGTGTCTGTCTGTGTGTGTGTGTGTTAGGCGGCTGTAAATGGGTGTCATGTATTCAGTGTTGATTTTATCTTTGAGTCAGTTCTAGTCGCTGTGGTCAACCTTGTTCGAGGTATTTAGGTTACATGAGCAATACCACAACAAGATCTCAGATGACTATTCGGAATTGGGTCCATTTAACTTATAGTCACCCGAAAATAGGATAGTGAATGTGGGAATTAGGCAGAGCAGATACTAACAATAGGTGATAGGTACGAATGTTGAAATAGGAGGTTATCTTACTAAAATGGGGCCATAATTCTAATAATAGGAAATATGGCCCAAATATTAGTAATAGGAATCAAGGCCCAAATGCTAGTTAACCCCTAGCAAACCCCCCCAGCACGTTCCCCCCTCAACCCCCATCAAACATTTCGATAATCACCATCCTCCCTAGCAAACACCTACAGCAACCATCCTCTTCCCTTAGCAAACACATCCAGCAACCAACCTCTTCCCTTAGCAAACACATCCAGCAACCAACCATTTCCCCGAGCAAACACAGCAAACTCTTCTCTACGCAAACACCCCCCAGCAATCAACTCCCTAGCAAACACCCCTAGCAACCAACCTTCACCCTAGCAAACACCCCAAACCCCTCGTCCTTAGCAAAAAATCAACCAACACTCAACAATCCTAGCAATTCCCTTTCTTAGTATTCTCCCCATACCCAAACAAACACCCCCCTATACCACATCTCTTAAAATCTCTCCTTGTCACCTAATAATCCTGTAGACCCAAACAAACCACAACACCCCTACCCCTCTTAGGTCTGCTAGTCATCCCTTAACACCTGACATGGCTTTGTTTTCCCAAGCAAATATCAGGATGGTTGGGAGGAGGAAGGGGGAAAGAATGAGATGGTGAGGTGAGGTCAGTTCTGAACCTCTTCCTCTCTTCCTCCGTCTTGTTTCCTTCCTCTTCTTCTTCCTCCTCCATCTTCTTCTCCTTCACCTTCTCTACTACTACTCTTTTCTTCCTTTACTTTTTTGTCCTCTCCACCCATCTCCTGCTCCCTTTCCTCCTTCTCACCATTTCTCTCTCTCTCTCTCTCTCATCTTTTGCCCCTTTTCTTCCTCTCTCCTCTCTCCTCCTCCTCCTCCTCCTCCTACTCTCCTCCTCCTCCCTCCCCTCCTCCCTCTCTCCCCTCCCCTCCTCCTGCTCCTCCTCCTCCCCTCTCCCCTCCTCTCCTCCTCCTCCTCCTCCCTCCTCTACAACTTACCTCCATTACTAATAGGCAGTGGTGGCCCTCCTTCCTCTGTGCACAATTAGGAAAATCCACTTGTTTGGGCTTGGGAGCAGGCTGATTATCCTGGGAGGCAGGGCAGTGGAGTAAAATCCACTTGTTTGAGGGCCTGGGAGCGAGCTGATTGGCTTTTGGCGGGTAATTAGGAATAATCCACTTGTTTGAGGCTGGGTGGCTCTGATTGGCTCATTGAAAGCAATTAGAAAAAACTTGTTTGGATAAGGATGATTTGAATATTAGTGGTATTACCCATTCAAGGGGCAATTAAACAAAATCCACGTGTTTGAGGGCCTTCCGTGAGCTGATTGAATAAAGTGTCAGCTGAGGTTGAGTTAAGGTAAGGTTAGAAGTAAGATTGAGTAAAATTAGGTTAGGTTAGGTTAGGTAAAGGTTAGGTTAGATTAGGTTAGGTTAAGTTAAATTAGGTTAGAAATAGGTTAAATTGAGTTAGTTTAGGTTATATTAGGTTAAATTTATGATAAGTTAAGTTTCCGTTAGGTTAATTATGTTTTAGGTTAAGTTTAGGTTAGGTTAACTTTATGGTTAGAGGCCAACACAGGTCTTATCACCATCATGCTCCAGTGCACATGATGGTCTAGGTCCAACGCCCCAGCCCACCCTCTCCTCTCTCTCACTATCTCACATTCATTCTCTTTCTTTCTCACTTTCTCACCCTCCTCTTTTCTACTTTTTTTACATTCTCTCTCTCTCTCTCTCTCTCTCTCTCTCTCTCTCCTCTCTCTCTCACTATCTCACATTCTCCTCTCTCTCACTTTCTTACATTCTCTCTCACATTCTCTTCTTCTCTTTCTCTCTTTCTCACTGTCTCACTGTCTCTATCTCCGTGTCTTTATTCACTTTTCCCGTCTCTCCTCCTCTAATTAGGGTCTAATACACTGAAACCACCTTAACTAGACACACCTCCGTAGGCCAGTTGGGGGTCAACAACGAGAAATATACGTGAACTTCCTCCCCCTCACCCCTCACTCATCCCCTCCATCATCCCATCCCCTTCCACTACCATCCCCCCCAACCCCCCATCCACCCTTCCACTACCCAGGCTGACCTGCTACCAAAATCGACCACGTACAGATAGTGAACAACCAGGTGGATGGGTGATAAGAGTGGGGATGGAGGAAGATGATATGGTAAGAGGAGAAAGTTGGAGGGATGGAAGGGTCGGGGTGGAGGAAGGAAGGGAAGGGGCTGAAATAGGGGATGGGGGGAGAAATAAAACAGGAGGGGGTAGATAGTAAAGAGGTGAATGGGGAGACGAGGGAGGAGATGGATGGAGGTGGGGTTGACAGGGGGGGTGTAAAATGAAACTTTATTATCCATTGTATTTCTACATTGTACCACTAAAGTGTACCTATGTATTAGCAACTTTGTACCATTATAATTTTTTGTATACTTGAACAAGTGTCTGGTGCTACTAATGTGTGATTTACATTGTTCTTTCATGTACATCTGAACATCATACTCCCACCACAATTGTATCTGTATAACATTGTACCATTGTTCACCCGTCGGTTGAGTGGTTGTTCAGGGCCCGACCATTTATTCCAATATTTGGTTCATTTCATCCTCAGAGTCCTTGGCCCCTCCCTCCCTCCCCGCTCCCCCTCCTCCCTCTCTCTCTCCCCTCCTCCCTCCCTTCCTCTCTCCCTCCCCTCCCTCCCTCCCTCTCTCTCCCCTCCCCTCTCTCTCTGACCTTCCCCCCCCTCCGCCCGGCCTGAAGTGCTCTCTGGCCAATATACTGACTCTCTTTTTTTCTTTCTTTCTCTCTCTCTTTGATTTTCACTTTATTTCTTTCTTTAATTTTTACACACACACTCTCTCTCTCTCTCTCTCTCTCTCTCTCTCTCTCTCTTTGTTTCTCTCCCCCTCGCTGTCTATCTGTCTGTCTCTGTAAGGCAAAATCTCCATAAAGACTTTAATCACATAACAGAAAAAATCACATAATGTCTAACATAATCACATGATGTCATTAATTACCTTTAAAAACTATATATCACATAAGATAATTACATAACATATTTCACATAAGAACATATAGCTCCCTTAATAGCATCACATAAATCACATTTTAAATTACAAAATCACTTGATATAAGAGATGCTTTTTCCCAATTAGATAAATATATACACTAGCGTCTATTTTGATGACGTCACATGCTATGGTTATCATACTAGCCAATCAAAGCTCTTGTTTTGATGACGTTACATATTATGATTGTCATACCAGCCAGGCCATCGTCGCCATGACGACATAATGCTGATTAATGAAATTGAAGTCAGGGAGGAGGGGGGAGGGGAAGGGAGGGAAAGAAGGGAAAAAGAGAGATATGAGGAAGGGGAGGGAGGGAAAAGAAGATGGAAATAGAGACGAGAGAAAGAGGAAAGGAAGATGCGGAGAAGAGAGGAAGTAAAATATTGCAGGAGAGAAATGAAGAAATATATGGAAAAAATGAAGGGAGAGGGAGGAGGAGGTGAGGAGAAGGAAGAGAGAGGTAGGATTGATGTCCTCACTGGCAGATCTCTTCAGATGTCTCATGAGATGTCTTGCAGAGTGTCGTGCTGGATTTCGTCAGCCACCCCGTCGTAAGAACCTCATCAGCCATCTCTTCGCTAGGATCTCGCCAGAAGTCAAGCTCGTGTGTGATCTCGTCCACCATCTCGTCGGAAAATGTCGATAAAAGTCTCGCACCTTAGATCTCGTTAGCCATGTCATAGGACCTCGTTAGAAGTCTTCGCATACAAGATCTCGACAACCATCTCGTTAGGATCTCGTCAGAAGTGTCTCCCGTGTGTGATCTCGTAAGACCAGATAGAGCAACAGGGTGAGGGAGACATCACCACCACCACTAACAACAACAGTCAGTTCCCTGGACCACCATAATGAGCCGCCTTGTTACCTCACAAACCGCCGTCGACACTTGCCCGCTCTCGATTTTATTGACAATCCCACCGGCACAAAAGGTCTCCTGGGGCCCTCCTCCTCCTCCCCTCCTTCTCCCCCTCCTTCTCCTGCTCCTCCTCCCCTCCTTCTCCCCCTCCTTCTCTGCCCTCCCTGCTCTACAAGCCTATTATCACTGGCTTTCTCCCTCCCCTCAGCTCCTTCTCCTTTGTCTTTTTCTCTCTTTCTCTCTCTCTTACTCTGGGGGATCGGGAAGGAAGGAAGGAAAGGGGAGGGAGGTAGGAGAATGACCTACAGAGACGTCTTAATATTGGTGTCTGTTCTTTGTCGGATAAAAAAATTGATCAGGATTTTATTTATTTTTTATAAAGAATTAAGCTGCAGAAAATGATTAGATTTTCTTTCTATTATTCTATTTTTACTTTATATTTTCTCTCTTTTCTTCTTGTAATGAGCTTGGTTCTTTTCCCATTGCCATTGTTATGATGATGTAGTTGGCGTCTCGTGTGCAGAAATTTGTCTTTCAATAATTCAGTTTCAGTGGGACGCGAAGGTGTTTGTTCCCTGTGAGAATTATGAAACTATGACGTATGTTTACACTTTAATGTATTTATTTTAAAACATGAATAATGGTGTTTGATATTTGTAAATTTAATGGTGAGGGAAAATAAGAGGATTATTTAATATTATTGTGGGGTAATTAAAAGCGGATGGATATAACCGTAGATTAATATTTAGATGATTCGTACTG